TTGGTAGTTATATAAAAATATGTTAATTATAAAATATAAACGAATGTAAAAAGTGTTTAAATTTAAGCAGATCAAGCATTGTGGTACATGGAGATCTCTATGTTACTCAACAGAAATATTTTTCTATAATCAAATTTAGTTTTTAATTTGTGTACACAGTGCTTGATCTTAGATGGTGTTTGTGTCTCTCTATGACTATGCATACTAACTTTTGATTCTAACTATTCTAATCAATCTGCCTACAGTCTAAAAGCCTCCTAACAGCACCACGCACTGCACGACTTCTAAAACGCTTTCAACTGCACCAAAAGTAAAACTTTACCGCACTGAATGGTGTCAAGCAAACCGACAGCACAACACAATTTTATTATGTTTTATATTCCCTCATTAATGTAACAATTCTCTCCTGCAGGCGGATGATGCCAGCGGAATTCACTTCTCGGCAGGCAATGGAAAAATGCGCTTGGGCTCATCCCCCTCGCTGGTCAGTGTGTCGGGCACGTTGTCCCGCGTGAATACTGTGGCCTCGGCGCTCAAGAGGTTCCTTAGTCGCGACGACAGTCGCCCGGGATCGGCCACGCCTAGTGATGATCAGAAACCGTACAAGTTCCCGTCCAGCGCCAGTTCTGCTAGTCTCACGGCTGGAAATGTGGGATCGGCCACGTCGGCCGGGAAGCCAGCTGGAAGCCTGCGCATCACCCAACAGGTCATCGAGGAGGTGGATGAGCAGGCCACCATCACCTCCATGCGCGCCAATGAGCCGCGACCCAATGTCATGAATATCTTCGGGCCAGGCACGGCAGGAGGAGTCTCTGCACCACTGCAGCCACCGCCGGCTCATTCCGAGCCCGTGGACATACCGTCACGTCCGGTGGAGTACAATCGCGCCCAGTCCCAGTACGAGCCCAGCCTCTTCCCGCCCGGAGGAGTGGATGCTCTGCTGAGCACGTCGGCTCCAGCCGGAGGCAGTCCCTCGCTGTTGTCGAACGCTGCCACAGCGCCCAGCTCCCCCGTGGGAGACAGCACCAAGTCGCTGTATGACCAGCAGAAGGCTGCCAGTCGGGAGACGGGTAAGTGATGGAGCGGATGCTGCAATGGGTAGCGTGCTTCTTAAACTCATATTTAACATTTGTGTATCTTCATTTTTTCAATCAATTCGCGAATTATAAAGAGAGACCCGATGCACCGCAGGTTTTCAGGTGGTTCATCACGAACGGTAATGTTCATCCTCCATTGGCCCTAATAACTTGTTCGAATCCTTCTTTAGCTTGCTCTGCGTAATCGTTGCTGGTTTACAATATTTTCTTTTACGTAATCTCTTTTTTTTTTGTAATTTTTGATTTAATTTTTAATAAGTTATTTGTAACAATTGGCATGTGTTTTTTTGAGAGCGCTGCCCCACACCTTTTTGAGTACTAACCCAAGCTTAGACCCGTCTTCCCAAATTATTGTATTCTCCGTAGCTTTTCTGGGCTACCGTGTAGGTAGACATCATTCCAAGCGTAATTCCAAATTCATTATTGGTACCTTGCCTATTAGCCTTAGTCCTAGCTCTGTTTATAGTCGTTGCACGTATCACCTGAGTTCTTCCCACATTTCCGCTGAAAAAATCCAACTAATCTCTCTCTCCGCATGTGTTTGCAGTGGAGAACATGGACCTGAAGTCCTCCAATGATGTGCTGGCCAGCAGCACCGCTGCCGAGCCCGAGGATGAGGGCGATGACTTTGAGAAGCTGAAGGCCGCCCGCGAAAAGGAAAAGCTCGCGCGCCAGCAAAAGAATCTGGCACGCACCATCAGCACAGCTCCGGGCGTAGATGCCGCGACTGTGGCCGCTTCCATGGCTGCCCAAGCGAATGCCGTACTCACGGCTGCGGCCTCAAGTGCCGATCTGCTCGCCGCCGGAGATCTTGTGCCCAGCTCCACGATGAAGTCGGAGAATGCCACGAATGGCAGCTGAAGCGACGCCCAGTAGTATTTTGTTGTACAATTATTGTGTCGTACAATTATGTAGCCTAAGTCTAGCGCATTATCTAATTTAGCTGAGCTGCTAAGCTTAACGCCGATCAACTTAATATTCTAAAAATTAAGAATGCTCATAACGTTTAAACGAGCTTGAGTAAGGATAGACCTATGTATCTAACGCTGTTGATAACACAAACAAACACTATTCTAAACGCTAAGTAGAAAGTTATTTGAATATTTACAAATATAAGATATTTTTGTAAAATAACTCCAATTAATCTTTATTTTTGTTGTACATTTTAATTCCTTTTCCTACACAGATGTAATTAGCAACAGCGACACCTGTTGATCTTTACACGCAACCATTTTATTTGGTATATTAAAAATACCACAAATTGTATCCTTTTTGAGTGATGTGGCATCCCTACCATCTGCGAATCCACTATTTTTGCCCTGCCGCGTCCATTTACAAAACATAAATAACAATTTTTAGTTTATAATTTGTATTCGATGATTGCTGTTTCAAAATGACCAACCATGGAGCTGGTGGGGCAGTAGCCAATGCCGGTCCAGCCGCTTGGCACAAATGGTGCCGCCTGTGCGCCAAGGATCATCCACAGAATGCAGACGTCTACGCTAGGCAAGAGGACCAACAACAGTCCTCCTGGACGAGTATGTTGGCCATGGCCATTGGCAAATACTTCTGGGTGGATGTAAATAATGGTTGGAATCTTACAAAATATGTACATTTAAGCCGAACTTATTGTTGCAGATCAAAATGGAGGACGAGCTGAGCAACCACTTGTGTGTCGAGTGTTTTACGCTAATGGAGTGCCTGATTGAGTTCTCGGAGCGTGTGCGACGCGTTCAGACGCTCTTCCATAGATTGCAGAACCTGAAGCAGGATGGATCTGTGGACTATGAGGAACTCAGAACGGACTGCGGCCTACTGACCGACGAGTGGAAGCACGTCATGTCGAAAGCAGTCACCGTGTCACCGTCTCGGCGTTTGCAGGAGAAAGTGACGGAAGAGGAAGTGCAGGAGGAGCCAGAGCAGGAACTCAAAGCAGATGATGAAAACGTTGAGGCAGAGGAAAATTCTGCAGCCTGCATGGAGGATGAAATAATAGAGGAGTGCTACGATGAGGAGTCCGACATAATAGAAGAAAGCGGAGACGAGGAATATAATGAGGAAGAACCGTCAGAGACTCCCCTCGATGTAGAACATGAAAAAAGCTCGCCCGCCATGGACACCGAATCAAATGCGGAGGATGACCCCGAGCCAAACTCGCAGGACGATAGAGCTACCATTTACTCATACAAATGCGAAATCTGCCGCAAACCCTACAAAAAGCCGAATGCATACAAGCGACACATGCTGGAGGTGCATAATACCATGCCCAACGACTTGCCAAATCTCGACTGCATCGAATGCGGTGCCAGCTTTCCCACAGTGCCTCAGCTGCAGACCCATCAGCGCAGCCACTTGCCGGCCAAGGACAAGGCGGATAATCGTTGTCCCCACTGTTCGAAGCTCTTCACCACGCCAGGAACCCTCAAGCGCCACATCGAAGGCATCCATCAGCAGATAAAGCCTTTCATTTGCGACATTTGTGCCAAGAGCTTCAATTTTCTCGCCGCGCTCAATGATCACAAGCTGGTCCACACCGACGAGTGTCCCTTTGAGTGTCCCATTTGCCATCGTGGATTCAAGAACAAAGCCAGACTCAGGGTAAGGTAGATCCATGGAACCATCTGCGAGCATTGCTAATCTCAAAACCCACTTTCAGGTGCATTCAGACACGCACAGTGCCACCATCTACGAGTGCAATATCTGTGGACTGAAGCTCAAGACGAGGCGAACCTTCAACAAGCACAAAATCGTCCACTCCGACGAGCGGCAGTACAAGTGTGAGCTCTGCGGTGCGGAATTCAAGCGTACGAAAACATTAAAGTCCCATCTCATACTGCACACTGGCATACGGCCGTACAAATGCAATTTCTGCGACAAGGACTTCTCCAATGGCTCAAACTGTCGATCGCATAAGCGCAAGGCGCATCCCAAGGAGCTGGAAGAGGAGGAATCCAAAGGCGTGACACGCTCCACACTTTTGCCCGTAATCGCTGAGTTGGCAAAGGCGTAAGTACAATGACTAAGACTCTAGACTCAACAACTATCACATATTTTATCATTAAATAGCTCAAAACGCATCAAGACTCCTGCCAAGCGGTTCAGAAAGAAGGCCAAAAATAATGGGAAAGCCAGTGAATCTCCAGCAAAGGACACGGCAGCTGAGAATGAGATACTCTACGAACTTGTTGGGGATCTTTGAAACTCCATTCAAAACGTATTCAATAGGAAAGTATTATAATAAAGTTTATTTAAAGACAAAATGGGGAAGAAAACCAGCGCACAACTTTCTTTCAATAGAATATTCATATTCTCTGTTGGTTTATTCACAATTCAAGTCTATCCCCACTACAGAATATTACAATTTGAGGGCAGAGTTACATTTACATACCATTAAATGCTCGATAGGCAGGCTGAAATTGAGCTTGAAACACTTTTAAAGTTTAAACTTAGACGAGAAACTAATCATCGAGTATATAAATCACATGAAAATCAAATTAACGAATTTCGAAAAGAGAGAACTAAACAATTATAATAAATAACAAGGTTTTTTTTCGTTGCCGACGCAAAAACAAAATAACAAAATACCAATTAATGGTCATCGATCAGGCTTTGGAATGTTTAGATCAGAATTCGAGAAACCTAGAGCTGTCCGTGAATGTTCTCGTCTCTCACGGACACCCTTAGCAAAGATCACATGTAGGGATGGACACAAAGCACACATTTACACATAAAATATATATAGCTAGAGATGGACATTGGGGAGCTTACAGAGGACCTACATATAGAAGAATTGAGCTTATGGATATATAGCTAAAATGTACAAATTTCACTAAATACACACGTAGAGCAAATAAAAGTGCACCCAGGTGGATCAGCGATAGTTGAAACCGGGCCGGGGATAGCCTAACTATGACCCAGCCACAGGCACGCTGCCAGCAAGAGTGCAGCACTGATTATGGCCACAGAACGTTGGTGTCTGCTGTCCGCACCGCAGGCAAGATTGTCGCGCGGATATTTGTTGAGTGGATCGGGCTCCTCGCTGGGGCGACACTGTTTGCCTTGGGCGGCAAAGTGCGAGCCGCACAGCTCATGGCAGGGCGGACACATGATCGCTCCCTTGTGCAGCCAGCCATTGGCTTCTATGCGAATGGAAAGCTTTTGGCCGGGGAACGAGCACTTGTAGGTGTAGTTGCCCACCAGGATGTGCAGGCGACCATCGAAACAGGTATACTTGTAGCAGCCACTGCCCCAGTGCTGCCATTCGCGAGTCTGATGGCAGGAGCGCTCCTCCCACATGGCCTCGCTATGATCGAAGCACTTTGAGCCATCGCCGTAGCTCTCCAGGGCAAAGTTTTTCTCCGGCTCTGCAAGGGCAAGGAAGTTGCTTAAGAACAGAAATTAAATTAAATATAAGCCTTGTAATTACTTGGATTATTCTCCACGAAGCGACAGTGGGAGCCGCGCACTATGATGTTCTTGCTGCGCCACGTAAACTCCTGTATGTAGGGACAGTGATCCGCCAGTGAAACGGAGCCACCGAAGAAGCCCTCCTCGCCGCTCTTTACATTGTGAAGGCTATCGAAATTCTGATAGCTCTTGGGCAGCTCGTAGTCGTGCCGTATGAGATTACACAGCGCCACCGAGTTGCGATCGTCTGTGCATTCGGTCTGCAGCGGATCCTGCTTCACCTTCGAGCAGAACGGATGTATGGAGCGGCCTCTGTTTGTGGGACACGCAGAAAACAGTAAGTAGCAAAGTGACAACACTGTGGAGTGCTGAATTCTATTTCTTACTTGGCATGATTCATTTGTATCCAATCCTTGCAGCTGCGCATGGCAAAGGCACAGCCAAGGCCCTTGCCCCAGCTTAGGGGAGTGGCCATGGAATAGTTGGCCCGATACCAGCCGGAATCCTCCATCAGGGCGAGGGTGATGCGTGAGAAGACCGGCGACTGTGTGTGCGTGCCAGTCATGGCCTCGTTCTCGAGTATGCGCTTCTCCCAGTGAGTCAGGGCGGTGCCCTCGCCGCCCTGATCCTCTAGCTCAGCCCCCTCGAGATGATCACAGTCGAAGTGGGCACGCGCCTCGGCCACGACGCGAGGCGTCACCATCATATCGATCTCCTTATTGACATGGCCACCACGCACAGACCAGTTCTCGCGCACCACCTTGCGTATGGTCTCATTGCTCCACTGATGGATCTGCAATCTGAAAGGAGCAATCAGAGTTTGAGTTCGATTTCAGTTTAGTGTCCCAGCTTACTTCTCGTTCAGGTACGGCTTGCCCGTTTCCGACTTGCGGGGAGTTCGCGGTCGTCCTTCGTCATCCCTGAAGAAGGCATAAAGACTGACGGAGAAGCCCAGGGCATGCAGAATCTCATGCTTGACTGTGGATATGAGTGTTTGCAGCTCCTGTGGCTTGGTGCTGATGCTCTCCGGACAGAGATTCGCATGTCCGGCAATGGGTCGATCCAGTGCCGCCTCCTGCTGACAGTGGGCCGCATAGGCCACTGTTAGACCCTTAAAGCAGCGTTGCGTCTGCCTTGCCGAAACGTAGAACACAAAGTCCGCGTTCTCGATGCCATCTCCCGGCTGGGTATTGCTATCAATGCGACAATTCTGCCCAGTGGCATTGCATACCCGACAGACCTGAAACACAAAGCGAGGATAATTAGGATTCATGGAAATTTTACGGGGAGGCAGAACCCACATCCAAATGCTCGTTGGGCACTTGAACCTCGCCGCACATTGTCGTTGCCTTGCATTGGTCGATGCAGTGGGTGTGTCCGTTCTTCACATAGACCTGCGTGCTGTCGCATTTTCTGCAGAACACAAAGCACAAACATATGAGCCATGAAAACATGAATAATTTATAATTGGAATTGTTCCTGAACTTACCTATTCAAACGTATAATGCCCTTGGTCTCTCGTACCATCAGGGCCTGTTCCCAGAACTGCACGGCCTCCGGCAGCACTGTGTCCTGCAAAATTCAGTTGCATTACTAAATGTCAAAGCACAAATTGTGCACCTACGAGAATTAGAAATATAAATATCCTCTTACATTTATTAAGTTGAACTTTTCCTCCTCCAGTCTGAAAAGAGCGACACGGCGTAGGCATGAAAATATACAAGGATTTTGCTTTGATTAGTTTTTCATTTGTAGCAAAAACAAGTGGGAAGACGATTTGTTATTGGGAAAATGCCATGCCCTGAGAGGCAGCAGCAACAGCAACATGTTTACGAGTGCCAATGGGGGGTACATTTCCTTGTGGAAATTAAATTTTGATGATTTTCAGAATTTTATAATTGATGTTTAAAGCTGGCTACCGTATGAATAAGAGACGAAAGCATGGCTAGACGAATTTCAGTGAACCAATCAATAAGTCCTCTTTGAAATTTCTTCTTTGCCAAAGACTTGATGGATGCTGACTTGAATTTATAATTTAATAGGCATACTAGACACTCCCCAGCTACTCAGACCCAGGTACTTGTGAAACGCACTGTTTGCACCTCTTGCAGCCACTTCATTTTTAATAACGAGATTGATATCGTAAGCCAAATCGAGTCAAGTTAGTTTTCCCGCTGACCTTGTCCGTACTGCCATTTGCTCGCCAATCGCGATCGACGTGGCTTGGATTGGACGTTTGGACTGGCTGTAAATTGGTACTGGGCCGTGTGGTGGTGGATGGTGGAGGCTAACCTTAGGAGAGCCACCAGCACCTCGCCTAACTGCGTTAATTTGGACAAATTGCGGCTGCCCCGGAACCCGAACCGAACCTCACCACAAAACCAATTTCGACTTCAAGTGTTACTCAACTCAACTCGGTAACGGTGCATGGCCAAAGCAACACACAACAGATACAGATACAAGCACACACATACAGTTAAGAGAGTGAACTGTTTTCTTGGATACGATATGTCGTTTTTGTGAGGCCTTAACTTGACATTCGGCCAAGTCAGATTGTAAACTGTTTTTCTGCTTGCTTGGCTGCCTGCCATTAAAGTGCAATTAAAGCCAATTTCCATACCCTTGCGTACAGCAGGGTATTATCATGTTAGGCACGGGCAATGTTACCACCACACAGAAGGAAGCTGAAAGAATAAAGCCATAATGCAGCGCCTGCTTCGGGAGAGTTTGCTAAGTTGATTTAAAGCTGCGGTGCAACTAGGTTATCGATTGGTTCATATTTGTGTGAATATAAGTAAGTATTTATCCATAATCGCAAGCTGATGACCTTGAAGCTGCCCGAGCTATAAGAGTATACAAATTTCGCTGGGCCAAAGTCTGTTTTCAGCCTGGAGTTTTTCGAGCTGGAGCTGGAGCTGGTGCCGTGGCTGGAACTCACCTGTAAACGGAATCATCATAGACGAGCAGAATGCGCAGCGGTTGCTCGGCGTAGACGCTGCGCCGGCGCACGCTATGCACGGCTGCGTCGCTGTTGCCGGTGGCGTCGTCATCATCGCCAGCCAGTTGGATGCGCACGCCATGAACGACCTATAAAAGCGAGAGAGATAAATAATGAGATAAAGATGGAGAGTAAGAGTAGGAATGAGAGTGAGAGTGAGAGGGAGCTGCAGATGGAGGGCAAGAAAATCACTCAGCGGAGCTTAAACGAAAGCGAAAACTGCTCAATTTTGTTGCTAGTTTTGTGTTATTATTGTTAACTTTTAAATGACGACATGTCACATAAAGGCCACACAAAAACCCAAAAGGCAAAGGCAAAGGCAAAACGGTAATTGGTCTGTGCAAATTGCAGGGAAATTAATTTTAAATTGCCCGCCAAAATGTCGAACGATTGGCACATCGCACAGCCCCAAAATGTCAATGATTGGTGTTGCTTGTTTCCCTTATATTGTACTTTTGTTATTTCTGCTCATTTACTAGTATTGTTTTGTTTGTTGCCTTTTGTTTTGCCCAAAATAAAGATAATAATAAATATGCTTTTCAGTCATTGTGCAATGTGTGCCAATTATTAGGAATAAATTAGATGTCTGTCGTCTTCGTTGAATATGCATGGCAGGGCCAGTCGTTGAATTGCGATGATAATCTCTTGACAGTCAAAGAGACAGACAGACAGACGGCAGTCGCTCGACACTCATCGGCATAAATTTGTTGAGAGTATATCAGAGATACACACACACACACACACAAAGACACTGAAGACTGAAGCATGCTAAAAATATATTTATGCCCATCAAGCATTAAAGGTTGCGGCGTCTGGGCTCCCCTCTTCGAGCGGGGGCATACTAATGGCGAGGGAGGGCCTACTGGTCTTGAAAGCTATTACATTTCCACAAATGCTGTGGATTGTCCATAAAAGTGAAAATGATATGGTCTGAGTGGCTTTGGGCTTATCTGGGATACATAAAAGGAGACCCCCCGCCAGCAGTAGCAGCATCCATCAAGAACGTTAAGAAAGTGAAAGCCAGACAACAAAGGAACAAGAAAATGTAAATTATAATAAAGCTAATTTGCACACTAAATGAATGAAATGACAGACAATGCAGCTTTGGTTTTAATTGATAAAAAGCCATGTGCTCCCCTACCATAAACGATGGATGCCGTGGGAAGTGATTGGTGAGGTGTTCACGAGTGCGGAGAATGTTTACAGCTGCTGACTGCTGCTAAATGGCAGCTAAAGACACCTGCGCGTACCCAGAGAACCAGAACCAGCGCCAGCATCAGCATCAGCACCAGAACCAGCTCCTATTTGTCGCAGAACAACAATGGTAATAGCTATGGCAAATGGCGATGTTTATCCAAGAGACATACAAAAGAGCTTGGCATTGAAATGAGCTGAACACACAGAGGCGTGCACACACTGATTGAAGTGCTGAAAGGGGAACAGGCTGTGATTGAAGGGGAGTGGGGCGAGTCATCATTTATGAGTAAGCTTTCAAGGGCCACTTGTCACGTGCAGGTACAATGTGCTATATCATCTCTCAAAAGCCCCCTGTACACCCCGTCAAAGTATCATCTTTGAGATAAAAATGGGCAAAGCATAAGTAAGCCTTCAAAGAGTTATGTCGGCTTCAATCGTGACGATCAAAACTCCACTTGCACCTAACTCCCCTTCATTGATTCAATAACTCGATGTCTCTGTGGTTGAATGCATTCAATAGGCATTGGAAAAACCGCATAAATTACAAATCATCTGCGAAACGTTTGGCAGGTGAAAGAGTATGACGCACAATACCGTTTTGGACAGCTATTAGTGAGCAAGCGAGCGAGAGAGAGAGAGAGAGAGAGAGAGAGATTTAGCGATAAATGCAACTGAAAGGCATTGTTCGCTGTATGCGAGTGAATGCATTTCATTAATAGCTTTGCTTTTACAACAATCATCAAATGGGCAAATATTTTGGTACACATTCATCTGTTAGAGCTCTCAACAGATGAAATCAAAGCTCTGCAAATGTTTTATAAATGCACAATTTATTATATATTTACGAATAATTAAAAGTAGATTAATGAACTGCAAAGTAATAATGTGGTTTAGAGTTGGGTAATATCACCTGATGTTCCAGTAAACATTGAGAGGATGACGAGAACACAATTCAGGGTTTTTTTTTCTGCAATTTGCCTGGGAAGCTTAACCTATTTCTGTGTGAGTTTATAATTCTTCAGACTCTTCCGCAATCTCGTGTTTCAATAATCGAATATCGAAAGGTGGAGGGTTCCTACAAGTTCAATTCGCTGGCATGTGATGTTATTAAACCAGAGCTGGGATATATTCAAGAGTGCGCCATTAAGGCAGTCGATAGGAAGCGTAATATGATCAATATTGTGGCGTATCTTAACAAAAGCATTACAGACGTAAATAGTGATCCAAAATCCACATCTAAATCTAAATCTGAGCATATACTATTTTCAGTTTGAAATCCAATTTAGAATGGTGAAACGCGAAAGCGGTGGCTGGCATCCTTTTCTATATGAAATGAGAGTAGATGCTTGCAAGTTCTTCAGTAACCGCAGAAGGTTATTTATTCCCAATTTAATATACTCAGCTCTAAAGCGTTTTACGAATGTTAATCACACATGTCCGTATTTGGTGAGTCTCCAGATCGGAATACATATTATTAGCAATATCAATCCAATAATTATATTAAACTTCTTCCAAGGCTGGTACCGTTTTGAGTCTGTGGAATTGGAGCCCAGTTGAAGCGAAAGTTTTAGAGAAATTTCCCGTAGAATTCGGTCAATATGGATTACAAACAACTTGGTACTCAGGCAAAATGCGTGTTGTGGAGATTAATGGCTCAGTTTTATATTTTAAATGATTTATAGTTATTTAATATTATGATTTTCAAGCTCAAAGAATTATAGTTGCTGTGCCTTTTTTGGGAAATTCGCGTGGGTGCTAGGGACACACTTTCTAACTATGGCAGTATGCGCATATGCTTATTCAATCTACGATAAGACGTAATGCCCAACTGGCTTGCATACTAACACAGATTGGAATATCTAACAAATTTTCTCGGTTTGTGGGCCACACTCGAGCGTGTCCAGTTTTGGATATGCGACTCACGTTTAAGGCAGAAACTATAGCAAGGCAAAAAAGAAAGAAAAGGAGACCGGCATACTTCGGCGAACCGATGCTGCAAATACCCTTACTGATTTCATCGAAATGTTGATCAAAGCCGATTCCATGTGAGCAGGAATTTCTGTAGATTTTTTATGGGTTTTAAGGGGGCTTTGCGCGATTTTTAACGACTTAAATATTGTGGGATCAGTGTCGTATTAACGGCTGCCGTTGACCTTCAGGTCGTTGCAAACTTCAGCCGAAACTTGCAGTACCCTCTTGCCAGGGTATTCATATGTACAAAAAGTGTATCAAAGCAAATAAAGAAAAGAGAAATGTTCAAAAATGTAACCACAGTTGGCTGCGCCTGCGCCTGCCTGCTTGATTACCTCCCGTATTTACTTTTTAAGCCAAACAAATAAGCTGCACAAAAACTGGCATAAATAGCAAAAAACCTGAAGACACGCACGCCTGCGCCTGCCTCTGCCCTGCCCAGTCCCGCTTGTGTCTTGCGGCAACATGCGCCGGGGGGGGTGCACCACAAGTTGGCCGGATTATGAGGCTACAACGTGGTTTGTCCAGTTGCGCATGCTAATTTTGGGAGCGGGAATCGATCATCGATCGGCTGTTGAGTAATTATTTACGTCTCTGTCTGTCGGGCTGGCTGTTTGTCTGTTTGTTAGTCAGTCGTGCATGACAACATTTCTTCGACTCCGACTTCCACTCTCTTTCTCTCTTTCTTCCCCCTCTTTTCTGCTTTTTATGACTGTCACCATCACCAGGCGTTCAATGCTCGCTCAAGTTCGGCGGATCAATGGAACTGGCCCGTCGAAGCTTTCAAGTGAGTGTGTTGTTGTTGTTGTTGTTCTCCATTGAGCATATTGTTATTGCTTTCACTTTCATTGGCACGTCACTCTCCCTCTCAGGTATTCTCGCACACTGTTCCGCTCTTCGCTCTCCGTTATGCGTTAATTGTTTGCTGTAATATTGAGCATCGATTTTTTTGCCTATGTCTACTTTGCATGCTATTGCGATGCTCTCTTTGGTGTCTGTGCGTGCCGCTCTCTGCCTCATCTGTTTGCTGATTATTATTTCACTCAATTTATTTCTTACCTCACAGTTTGACCGCATTGGAAGTAGAGGAGGGGGGCGACTGCCGCCGACCCTGGCCTGACACTGTGTTGCTTAATCGAAATTATTAAATGCATTCAATGGCCTCGCCCCAAGCACTAACTGATCACGCGGATTAAGGGCCATTAGCAAGTGTTTGTCTCATTCAATTTACGCAGCTTACTGTTATAAATTGGTTCCGTTCTAGCGTGGTTTGCCTTCTAGCTTCCTTTCAATCAACATCAATGAAATAATTGCATTTTCAGGCACATACACCCCCATGAGAGCGTTCCATTCAAATTGAAATTCCAGTTCCAATTGGCACGCTGAGAATGGAGCGTGGATAAGCGGTGAGTGGGGATGGAGCTTAACGCCTGTTTCCAGATACCAAAGTGCCAAGCTTAAATTGGTTTATGCAAGGGATCCCATCCCATTGCCCTCGACCATCATAACGTTTCCTTTTGCAGTAAAAGGTACAGTCGAACTCCTCGTGCTCAAGAAAACACCTTTAAAGTGGAACACTTATGTACCATTATATATATTTATGTATGTTTATTTTTTGTAATTGCCATGTTATCTTTGCACATTTTGAATATCATGTTAATTTTGTATTGAAATTTAACCACAAATATGTCAGATACTTGAAGCAAGGCCTCGTCATCGTATTTTCTTAATGATTGGAATCGTAAACGTTTTTTTGTAATTAGGGCAGATTTGTTGTTCCTATACATTTTTGTTCTCTTAATTAATGTATTATTTATTTATTTATTTATAAAAGAAGATAATGGTTAAAAGAACTAAAGTTCGAGTGGCAGATAAATAGATTTAATGAAGTTGTCTTTAGAGAAGTTTTACTGTAGTACATGCTATTCAACATGCACCATGATGAGGAAGCTGCTCTTCTCCTGACTTGTTAGCAATTGGCAAGTCTGTTTCCAACACATTTCATTTAATGGCCCTGAAGCGGGCTGTATGCAGGTACATTCGTGCTAACTGCATTTAGCTGTTATTAAACGTGTTTCCACTTGCCTTGATGGGTAGATAAATTCAAGATATTTATTCGCATGCTGATTTGACCGTTGACGGGCTGTTTCTACTGCTTTCATAACTACCGTCTCCCTACGGTTACACCCCACATTATTTCTCATTCTTCTCCTGTTTATCCGACAGTGGTGCTGGTGCTGCTCTCAGTAATTCCATTGAAAGTGAACCAAAGCAACAGCAACAAGTTCTGCTGTAATGCCCGTCATATTTCTCACTTTCAAGGCTCCCCTTCTCCTTCTCTTTCTCCTCCTCCTTCATTCCACGTACTTGATACATGAGTTGCAGCAGCGGAGAGACTGTATAACAGATGCACATAATTCGCCAATTACTGTACAATGGGTAACGAGTCGTTTATTGAAAATGACAGGCAGAACAACGGAACAAAAATCTCCATTTACATCTGGCGCACCAGAAAAAAGGCTTCCTTGCACTGAACAAATTCTTCTTACTTGAGGAAACGTAATTTACTCGATTTATATCATATCAAGATGCAATTGAAATCAATCATTTAACATTTATGGGATGTGCAACCGTTACTTAGACCACACAATGCATAAATGTACATAAAATGTATTTATGTACAAAGCCTGGTATTTCCCAAAAGATTATAATTTAAGTCGAGAACAAACTTTTCCAGAATTGACGCCCACTCACTCTTAACTTGTGAAGCTTCCTCAAGCGAAAATTGAGAGAGCGTAAATAAAGCGAAGAGCAAAACTTTTAGCAGCATACAAAATTGCAGCACGGAATTAATTTAAAGGGAGCTTACAGTTGACAAACATTCAATTTATCTGTACGTCGCATGATTCACTTGCTCACAAATGCGAATTCAATCAGTTCTCAATAAATCTGAAACGATGTGGACATGTAACACGTCGTTTAATAAGTTGTAACGTGGACGCTCAAAGCCCGAGCAAAGTGCAGCTGTATATGAATTCATTCGCTCATCCGCTCGGTCATTCAACAGTTAAACAGCATCGTTGTCAGTGCAGCGTGACAAATGATTCAATTTGGAATCGTTTACATAGTACTGCGGGCTGTCTTATTTATGTACACTTTTTTCCCATAGCTGATAAAACAGCTTAATTAGAATCGAGTGCTACTCGGGCTGTTGTCAACGGGAGAGTTAAATGCATGAATGTATAAAAGCAGCGTAAGCTTTGCGGTTTGGGTGTACATATCTCCCGCATAATATTTGAGTTAATATTACCCCAATCACGGCGCGTGACAGGATGAATCTGAAAGGGTGGGAGAGGGAGAGAGTGAGAGTGGAATATCTCTGGGTTGAAAGGGAGACGCCCTCTAGCAGTATTTTTATTACTAATAAGAGTTTAAGTTACAGATAATTAAGTTAATTACCCGCCGTGCAACCACGACAGCATCGATAGGTACAGACAGACAGCGTGTATTAATTCTCTCAAGTCACTTTTACTGCGAAGGAGGGAGGAGTGTAAGTTGAACTGGAACTCGAACTTGAACTGGAAACAACTGTAGTACCAGTCATGTAAATTTTCCCCTTTGCACAATTGAAAGCAACCTTTATTTATGGCGACATGCCAATTAAAATTCCGTTGATTGGAAATAAATTCAATATGAGAAAATCCCCCAAGCAAAACAACAAAAATGGAAGCTAAAACGAAGCATTGAAACTGCTTCCTGAAACATCGATTTCCGAACTGGCAAAGGTTCAGCAACAATTGGAATACGGATTATGTGGCTGTAACCACTTGACTTTAAACCTAATTCATAACTAGATCAGATTATACATATTATACATGGATATAGTAGCTGCAGGTGATAGCTGTGTGGCAACCATCTAGCCAATCCCAAAGCCAACCTCTGGTAACCACATTGCATGCCGTGCTGAATCTTAAGTGCGCATATGATTATCCCATCCAGTGGCATTAGTCAATAAGTTGCGGTTTCCATTGCTCTGGCTGCTAACCAGAATCATTCGGGTGGCTGCGTGAGAAACCTCGTTTTAGTAAACTTTAATAACATACCTATTATATGTATTCGTGGAAAGGCCTCCTTTGTAAATAACACCAATAAGGAGCTTACGCCTAATGAGCAGAGTTTGTGACTCACAATACAGAGGCTGCCTGAGAGAGATTCCGAGTATTCCGATTATACAAAATATTATAAAAACGATGTCTTCCCCAACATTTTCTCAATTTCTCACTAAAGATTCTTCCAGCTTCTTCCACGCCTTCACCGAAGTCAATTTGTTGCTCTGATGCAGGAATGACAAAATAATGATGCCTCGTTCTGACATTAAGAAACATTTAAATGTATCGCTTTGTTCGTTGCAAGTAGCTTTTACGCGAAGCTCCCACAAAAGGGACACATTTTGTGGAGTTTTCTTTGTTTGTGTGTTTGCTTTTCGTTCGTTTCCTGGCAACACCTCGCCCTTCCCTCTCTCCAACATTTGGCGGCACTTACCTCATGGGCTTTGGGATGCTGGTGCTGACAGTTGTGTGCCCTGGCCGTCGCCAGAAGCCAGCAGCAGCAGAGGCCAAGGGCCACTAGGAATGTGCCCGGTTGGGTCTGCAGCGGGGGCATGACCATGTTTAGGGCGTGGGACGCGTACTTTGAAAATCGCTAATTATAGATTCCTGGGCAGGATGGGCATAGTTTTAGCCGCTGCAATCACTTCACAGGATGCTGAAATTTGTCCGATTGCAGCGCGTTGTTGTTCGCGGGTATTTGTTTGCTTTGTCAATTACTAGTAAATCGCGTTCTGCGAAACCGGCCCCCAGTGCCTTTCCACACTCACACACAAACACACGCGCGTACAATCGCATATATATTTATATGTTTGTGCATAAACTACCACACTGAACAATTGGGGCTTTTGGACTACTTTTGTTTTTGGGTGGGTGTGTCCGCGCGAATTCGACCCACACCGCTGCAGCAGCCTTAGACTTGGTTGTTTTTGTTTTGCAGCAAGCGGCTCGACATAAATGTCAAATTCTCATGAACTTCCCGGCGGCAGAATGCATTGCACGGTCCCTAATTCCCTGGCTCATTTATACGCGCAACATAATTAAAAATCCTCTTAGGTTAATTCGAATGTTTTCATTGATCAAAACATTAAACACACAACACACAAAAACATTGTCGCGAGGGGGTGGCGGCAACTCCACAGTGTTAGAGCGTCCTATGCGAGGGTAGCTTGGGCATTATTATTGTTATTGTTGATAAATCAAAGTAAATCAAGATTTTGTATCTTTAATAAACACTGGGTCAACGCACAACACCTTTTCCTGCTTGAAAGCAATCTGGCGTTACTTCTGCTTTCGGTGTTTCGTCCGCGCGCCACCTTCGCCATTCAAGTTAAACACTTTTTTGAGCTTTAAAAATTATAAAACAAAACACCAAAAAAATTCAAGCAGTGTGACCGGGGAAGGCCATCGGAAATATACCGAATATACCCTTGCATTTTCAAAATATACTGTAAATATACCGTGAACCTTAAATTATTTTCCTCGATTTTGATGTTCTATTTGACAATTAGAAGGTTACAAAGACTTTTAACTATGAAATAATAATTTAATCCGATTGAGGAATCATTTTGGCTTATTATAATTACTCATTTTTATTAGATTGTGTACCTTATGGCTTTATATTTTTCCAATTTGTATTTGCATTTTTCATTAAAATCCCCCCTTCTGGAAGCAAGGGAGCTTTGTGTTCAGTATGTAAATGTACGTGACATGTAGAGACACATGAATGTAGCTGATGTCATTGAAAATTATTTAAAAATAGCGCGCTCAACAAAAGAAGATAAGAAATTCTATTGTTTTCCTGAAAGGGAAAGGGAAGAAATGCTCTCAGTTGAGTCAAATAAATATTTATAAATATTACAAATAAACAATATTTTTTGATTTGTCTTCCTACCATTGTATAGGCACAGCCACCACTACACACATATCCATGTCGTAGCTTCCTTGTAATTATATTTATGTTTAAACATACCGTTCATAACGCCATATACATACATATCTTAGACTATACTTAAAGTTTATAATAAACATTACTTCGACCGCAATTATTTGGATAGTTTTGATGTCATTGCAATTATAACTTCTTCTTTTTGGCCACTGTCGGTGCTGCCGGGTTGTCGCCCTTGTAGAACTCCTTCAGCAGCGCCATGGCCTCGTCGGCACGGACGCCGCCTGTGATTTTGATTCTTTGGCCCACCACGGCCCCGACATCAACTACCGTCTTTCCGCCGAAGCGATCGTTTTCGCAACCGAAAATAATCTCCTTGACGCCCAGCGTGTGCAGGGCGGCCGAGCACATGATGCACGGCTCCACGGTGACTACCACAATGATCTCGCTGAACATTTGGCGTGCTGGCAGGCTCTTCTCCCGGCAGTAGGCCAAGGTGGCATCGATGCAAATGAATTCGGCATGACGGGTAGCGTTCCGGTAGACGTTCACTTCGTTGGCGCCACGTGCGATGACTTTGTCCTCGTGCACAAAGACACAGCCGACGGGCACCTCGCCAGCGTCACGTGCCCGTCGCGCTTCCACCAACGCTTCCTCCATAAAAGTGGCCATTTGGCATGGAAAAATCTCCGAGGAACTCTTGGTGAAAACAAGTCAACAAAACAAAAGACGACGACAATGAAACAGAGGCGAATGCGAGCCCTTTACAACACTGCAGGTGCTGAACAGCTGATTAGAGGTGAGCACGAGCTGATAATGTTATCGGTTGTGGGCTCGGCTTGAAGATTGCGTTTTTGAATTATTCGAACCAGCAATCCAATCCTTTGTCATCCGATTGACCCGATGGAAAGCTAGCTAATATTCCATACAAATTTAGGCTATTTTTTATTATTGTTTGTGGTACATTTCAGCTTAGGCCGCCAAAGTGTGGTTGCTGCACCACAGCACATCCGCTGCTGCTCTGTCTGAGCAGATACAAGCTAGCTGCTGGTGGCGTTGCCAGGGGCATCTCAATGACACCCCCGCTTGCACTATCATCCTTGAGGCCTCGCAGCTCCAGCTCACAAATGACCTGCGACACGCGCATCTTGGCCTCCGCTATAAGCTTTGGCGACAGAGCCTTCACACTGGAGCTGACGCTCTCGAAGAACAGGTCCACATGGTTTTTCTCCTTGGGCGGCGGGGGTTGCGTCGACTGGTTGCTTCCCATCAGTTCGCGGAAGGACTCCATCAACTCGTTTTTATCCTGATGGATTTGCATGAGCAGCTTAAGACCCTCCTGATTGGAAGGGGAGGTACATTTGGTGTGATTGGTGGTCGTCGACGATTCGGTACCCAACGTAGCGGCCTCAGGCGGAAGATTTCCTGAATGAGATTCTTCATTGGGCTTATAGCTCGTCTCTGTCTCTGAAAGAATTTCTTGTTTGGGGACGCTACTGGTGGTGATGGTTGGAAAAGCACCCACATCGGTGGCTATAACGTGCACGGTGGTAGTGGAAGCTTTATTTACATCTGACTTTGCTGATGATGGTTGTGGGGGTCGCTTCTGGAAGTATTTGCTCCGTTCTTGCCGCACAGTCAACTCTTTTCGTATCGCTCCCTCGCCTTTGGTAAGGAGGGACTCCAGGTTTCGCTTGTGCTTCGAGGTTCGCTCGTGCCGGACGAGATGACATCGGTTACAGTCCAGCCGGCAGTGGCAGGCGCGGCAGAACGGCTTGTTTGGATCGTCCTCGGAACGCCTCAGCCACGGCTCGAATATGTTCAGCCACTTGTCGCAGAACCTTTGATTATACTTTGGTTTTGTCCCAAGCTTCTTTTCGATGTCCTGCCTTGCGGTCTGTTTGATATTTCGAGCCTCTCTTACCTTGGCTTCCTTCCTGTAATGGATTGCGTTGATTTCAAGCTGGAGTTGAATTAATTTATCTGGCTTACCATTCTGAGTCGGAAGTATTTTCGGAGAAACTCATGCTGTTTTTTTTATTCACTTCTTGTTATTGTTATTTTCTGCTGTCCAGGGCTGGCAAACTTCGACTACAAAATTGCACCTACCAACACTGGCAGACAGTCGATAGACATTTTTATTGATTTTAATTATTTATTGAACTGCAGAACGAGAACAAGAGTAACGGCGTTAGTGGTTAATAATGTATGTTTGCCACGGTCCAAGTTAAGCTAATGCGGATTTTCGGGCTTTAATTCAACGCTGGGCATTGTTTTGTGTGTGTAATATGCAAGGCCTAAAAAAAGCAGTGGATAAGACATTTTTTGTTTGTCTTGCAAGCAGGTCGTGAACGGCTGAACGAATCTACTACTATTTCTACTACTACTGCTGAACTATGATAATTAAATAGCATTTAAAATGGTTATGAGGCTTACTTGCCAACGGGTCAAGTCGCAACGGGCACTACAAAAAAAATCATTTTTAGACATTAACTGGATTCTTATTCTTTAAAAGAAATGCTGCTTGCAGTATTCCCAAATAAATAGGGACCCTGTGACATGGACATTGAGAGAGCGCACCACACCAAATTGGGGTATCTCCACGGCATAGTCCAGGAAACCAATCAGATCTGCTGGTATTCCATGCTTCTCGTGCCTGTAGGATGAACACCAAAAGATTATATTTTGATTGCCAATTCCCAGATCCAAAAATAACTCACCCCAACAGCAGAATACACTTTTTGGGGAATCTAAAGTTGGCGAAACTAATGCTGTGAGCTGTCTGCTCGGCGCCAACAACTCTAAATCCCTCCATTTGTTTTTGCATTAGATATTCAGCAATCCAACTGGGCCTCAGCTCGATAATGTCCAGCGTCTTCTCAGCAGTCATGCTGAAATATAAATATGCATTAGATCCGCATTACCCCAAGTGTGTCGCTAGCCAGAAGCTTAACCTTAAGTTGGTGAAATCGCTCTTTGTCGTCAAAGCCTTATTGGCCAATGCCAAGGTTTGCACACCCAACACCTCACAGGTGCGCGCCAGACCGCCCAGATTGGGCAGCTTGTCGATCAGGGAAGCCACTACCACCAGTTGCTTATTGACAACCATAGGATATTGGCTGACCAAATCGGAGTTGGGATATATATCGTCAATGGGATTCATTTTGCGCTGCACGTTTCCGTTGATGGCACCATCCCCATCACCGTTGGGGAATGTTGTCTCTGCCAGTGATCCAGCCTTCTTCGAGTTAAAGAACGAACGAATGCCTCTGAGAACTTCCTCGAACTCGGTAGTTCCCGCGAGCACTGCAGGTCTGATGCACTCATCGAAGGGGGCATGCGTCATATAGAGAATAGATTCTGCCACAAAACAGGGACTTAAATGCTGACTTGTCATTATAAGAGACAGCACGAGACGTGGCTCCTTGCGCAGCTCAGCGAACTTGTTGCCAAACGTTGCTTCTATCGATGTCTTCAGGGCCACGGCCATGGGCATAACAATGCTGCAACAAAAACAATTGTCTAGGCATTCGATAAGCTCTGTGTGTGTGTTTGTGTCTTACCCGCTTTTCTGGCACTTTTCGGCCAGCCTGTGCAGCACCAACTGTGCCAGCACACGCGTTTGAAAGTGGGAACCCATGGTGAGTGGCAAGAGTGCTGCAAAAATGGCATGCAACTGCTCTGGCTTTAGGCTTTCCCATTTCGCCATGCAGTACAGATGGGCCACGCTAGTGAGCGACAGATGTTGACCAGGCGAAAAGTCCTGGAACAGCGACAACTTGGTCAGCAGTGGATCAATGCTTGGCAACATATTGGACACGAGACACTCGAACATGTAGCTGATATTGAGTTGATCATTGGACCAGAGCAGTGCCTCCCACAGTAGATCCGACCACTTGACAAGATCGGGTGAGCCCAGAAAGAGCAGAGCCTTGCAGATGCGCATTTTGGTTCTGTGCTCCTTGGAGTTCTCAAAATAGCGCGGCTTCTTGGCCGACAGCTCCTTGTTGGTCCAGAGCAGTTCCTGGAACAGTCCGTTCACGTCGCGTGTGTCGTCGCGCAGATGGAATGCGGTGCTCAAAAATCTCGATCGACTAAAAGCATTCTCGTCAAAGATGTGCGCAATGCGGTAGATTTCGCCGGCCTCAATGCTACAAAAGGGTACAAATTTTACACTCAGCAAATGTAATTGCAAAAACTTGTTGCACTCACCGTGCATCTCCTGTGCTTGTCTCTCCATTGAGCAATTGTCCGAGGACCAGGGGCATCGGCAATGTAAAGTTCTCGAAAGCTTCGAGGCAACTCGGTCGCTGGTGCAGCAAATCCTTTACAAATTTCTCATATTCTTTCTGCAGCAAATATGCATTTGCGTACTTGAGGATGTAACGAACATAGGAATTGCTGTAACCACAACAGTTAGAAGTAAAATCAATACAAAATAAACTCATGTACGCAATGCTTACGCTTTGACTCGGTTGCAAATGGCCAAACGGGCTACCAGAGCTGGCAAGATGACGGCATCGTCTGGCAAACGCTCTCGCTGGCAAGCCAATAGCCAGCAGAGACGGGAAAATGTCTCATCGGTGCCCTTATCCAACAGATCCAGGGGTCGCAGCTTAGCCTGTTCGATTTGGGACCAATTTTTAAAGTTGATTCGCACATAGAGATCCACACATTGCTCAAGCACATACGACTTCTCCTCCCGCGACTCGCAGTTGAATCTATCGATCAAATGCTCCTGCATCTTCTCTAGGCTCATGGCTCCGGGTTTGGTCAAGAGAGGATCAAACCCATACAGGGAATAGTAGAACGCGTACTCATCATGGATCTCGGAGAAGTCGCCGCCCAGGAAGACGGGCACAAGGCGCCACCAGCCATGCTGGGCCTTGGGTACGCCTTTTAATTGCACTAAAAATGCATGCAAGAGATTAGCATTTGGACTGTGCTCCGCTATAATGTCGTAGCAACGCTTGCTGAAGTACGGCAAATGGACACCAAAGTTTTGGCAATTGGTGATTTTGTGCGTCAAGCGAGCGTGGTCCAAATAAGCATCGCTGGTATTATATAGCGTCTCCACATAAATCATATAATCGCCCAGAGTCAGACCCTCAATTGTGTGCTGGAATAGATCAATATAATAATGACGCTGCTCAGGTTCAATGGGTAGACGCTACTCACATGAAAGAGTAAAACCAGCCGCTCGATAACCAACACTCTCAGTGTGGGATTCTGTAGGATGCGCACTCGAGCGCATAGCTTGAAGAGCAACTCCTTGGCCACCGTTGGCATCTGCTCTGGACGTATGCAGCGCAACCAATGCAGCAGTGGGACACAGTGCCAGGGAACCTGTACCAGTGGCTGTATTAATGGCTCAACGTTTGGACAGCCAATAAAGTCCACTGTTTGCTTCTCCGACATGTGGCCTTTGGCCTCCCAATTGAACAGCTGCGTGCGGTTGGTGGCCGCCAGGAACTCGTAGACCAGACCATAACGATTTAGCCAGTAGAGGCTCAGCTGGGTGAGAAAGTATTTGAGTATCCATTTCAGCACCAGTATATTGTTTTCCTGCAAGAGACGTATGCAGAGGATGCGCAACCAGCGCGCCCAGGTGTCAACCACTTCAGGGGACTTGAGGGCCAGACGTGGCAGCAGCGTACTCAGCGTGGGCAGCACCAGGTGGGACTGCTGCTCCTCTAGATTCTCCATAATGTCCACATAGGCGGACCACTGCCTATCGCAGCACTTCAGTGGGCCGAGTATCCTTGGCCCTCCAGCGCGTGTTTGAGCCTCATCGACAAGGAGTATCTTTCGCATGACAAAGCAGGCAGACCGGCGGTCCTCACGCATGTCCGATTGCAATAGATTCATGATGACGTCCAAGAGCTTCTGGCAAAATGGGATGCCCAGCTTGGCCAGGAAGTCGTCAAACAGATGGAGCAGAATTTGCCCCACATATGGCTGACGGTCGCGACTCAAGCTGAGACACCAAAGCTGCTCGAGCAGATACTTCCCGTCGGTGCCGGAAAGCTTTCGCTGATGCAGCTGCACGCAAACGAGCACATTTGCCACCAGTTGCCTGCGAGAGGCTGTGTCCTCACTGTTGGCGCATATCACAACCGCCACAAGCTTGTGAAACACTTTTGCGCCGAATCGAACATTCCACTTGCTGTTGGCCTGCATCAAGTTATACATGCACTGCAGGACTTTTTTCAAGGCCAACTCATTGTCCTTGTGCATGTCCACCAGATCGTACAGCATGTCATCCAATTCGGCAATATCTCCTTGCAAATTCTGATTTTGAATATACGATTCGAGGGCCTGGACAACCGCGTGCGTGGATGTCGCGACGACCGTGGCTTTCGTACCCGGCAGAGCCATTGATGTCATTTGCTTCTTTTCACTTGTTCGCTTTCAAGGTCAGCTCCTCCTGGCACTCTACAAGTTTCTGCAGCTCTACAAGTCTCTGGCCCGCTACAAGTGTACAGCTCCTGCTTCACATGCAAATATTTCACAATTGGCTGCAACTCCCCCGTGCACATTGTATTTATTTGTTGTTTCCTAACAACCCCCACCCACAGTCCGTATGAGCATGCCGCCCAACAGCTGTTTGTCAACTTATCGTTGTGACTGTCCCCACAGAGTTGGCATCACACCACACTTTTCTAACTGAAGAGTGTACTCCCCTTTCTTTGCATAACATATTAATAATAAATAAACGCTAATTGGATTACATAGTGTTTGAAATTAAAGTATTTTAGAAGTCTTCTTTAATTAAAAGTTAAAAATAGTTAATTTCCGATTTTGTTTACCGCCAAAATAAGCAAGCAGCACGACTGCTCTATGATGTGCAGCCAACTTGCGCTCACCTGTGAATGTCAAACATAGTTGATCACATTTTCAAATAATCATCAGTTTTACTTTTTGGATGTGCCATCATTTTTCTTGAGTTTTGTTGTTGCCTACTTCTTTTTTTCAGCTCCAAGGAGTCGAATGCACTTTTTTTTAGGCTTTCGTTTGCAGTCTCCAGACTGTTTTTCCGTCTCCGCTTTGTTTTGTTGCCGCACGGAGAACAGTCGAAAGCTGACGTTATCGACCCTCATTGCGTCTACAATTACGACGGTAACCTTCTTGCCGGACTGCATTATCTCCAGCTTCGGCAAGAGCTTGATGCCCGACTGCAGGATTTGCTGAAAGTCCGTGCAACCGGCGGCCATATCGTCAATGATCAGAGGATAAACACCGCGAAATATCACCGACTGACGCGCCTGGGACTTGCAGCCGATGAGCAGAACGATGGGACAGACAGCCCGCATCTGGCTAACCAGCTGTG